CCTAACCTAACCTAACCTAACCTAACCTAACCTAACCTAACCTAACCTAACCTAACCTAACCTAACCTAACCTAACCTAACCTAACCTAACCTAACCTAACCTAACCTAACCTAACCTAACCTAACCTAACCCGACCGCGTCTACAAGGCGCTGGAGCCACTCGCGACCGCCCGCTTCAATGAGCTTTGCGCTCATGGGCAGGTTCCCACGTTCACTGCGAATGCCCAGGGTCTCCCCCAACTGTCCAACTGGACAACCCCGGCGTATTTCGGCGTGGTCTATCGCGATCTCCTGGCCGACCTTCCTATGTACGGTCTTCGCATTCAAACCTTCGCCGCCAATAAGGCGCAGGCTATGGCGCAATCTATGCGCGCCAAGAAGGAAGTTGTCGCCGCTGCTGACGTCGAGATGGCTGATGCCCGCGAGGGCGTTGCCGGGCCTGGACCTTCGACTATCCAGTCGATGGTTGACAAGGCCGTCGCCGCCCGCATGAAGAAGCTTGAGAAGCCCGATGGAAAGGGCAAAAGCAAGGGCAAGGGGAAAGACGTAAGTCTTTCTCAGGACTACGCTCACGTGTGGTTCGATTCTTACTCTTCTCTTCTTTCAGAACGGGAAGAAGAAGACCTCAAGCTCCAGCAACGACGCCCGACGACCTCCCGAGGTCAAACAGTACGTGCCTCCTCCAGCACGCTTTCTCCCTCGGTCACCTATCGTCGTTTGGCACAGTCCCCAGTCACGCAAGAAGAACAGCAAGTCCGGCCGCAAAGGCAAGGCAACTGGTTCGAAGAATGCGAAGGGGAAAGGCAAAGGGAAGCGAGGCGGGAAGAAGTAGCGCGCCGCATGTCCGAATATCGGTACGGCTCGCCCTCCACGCTTCCTGATCTAATATTAACATTGGATTTTCGCACAGCTGTACAATTAGTTGTTTTAAATACGCCCTGTGATGTAGTGGCCGCGTCTAAATTTAAGACGGCTGTTCATGTGTCTCCTGGTGTGAGTTTGCCTCAAGAAATAGCCCATATGTTATCTGTCGGAGCAAGATATATGTTCTTCTCCAAATCCAATTCGCGTTTGATATGGCAGAGTTGGATGGACTTTCAACGGCGTCTGAGATGGCGTCTGTTGTTCTCCTTTAGAGGTGACGATAACATAACATACGATCCTGATTACGATGTGAAACATAAGTCTGTAAAGGTCCCTAAGCATCGTTTACCGCAATATATTGAGTTAGGCCTGATTAAAGGTCGGATCTTCGTTCGTGATACGATATCCAAAATACCTGAATCAGTAAACCTTGGCACTTATAAGCCTCTCGAGCCTCGGTTGGGCCAACTCAAGAAATTCTTATTGGACAATAAATATGTCGTTACCGGCACTGATAAGAACTTAGGCATAGCGGTGTCTGAGAGCACCTGGATTCGTAAAATGTCTTTAGAGGTTGTATCGAACAATAAGGATTATAAAATTCTTAGCAAAGTTCAAGCCGATATGATCCTAAATAGGAAACATACTGAAATTATCACTATCGCTGAGATTGCCGAAGTAGCATACGCGTTAGAAGCAGCTAATCTCCCGGACTTCCTGCGGTCTAAATTAACGGAGCCGGGCGCAGAACATCATATTCCTGTATTTTACGGGATTCCTAAAATTCATAAATACCCTGTGAAATTTAGGCCGATTATTCCATGTCATTCTGCCGTTCAAAACCCCGCTGCTAAGTTTGTTTCGAAAAAGCTTAAACCTATTATTAATAAGGCGCCAACCGTAATTCACGGTACTAAAGATTTGGCGATAAAATTAAGTAAGCTCCATCTACAGCCCGGCCGGAAACTTTATTTAGTAACCGGCGACGTTGTCGCTTTCTATCCGAATGTTCGTCTGGATTTATGTCTAGAAATAGTCTACCAATATTACTTGGAACACTATTGGGGAAATGTACCAGATCACGACAGCGCTGCGAACCTTGCAATACAAGATGTGTTTCGCCGAGCATTACATGTAGCTAATGAAGAGCTTATTACGCAATACGATGGTAAGATTTATCAGCAACTTCGTGGCCTAGCCATGGGAGTTGCGGATTCTCCTGATCTGGCAAACTTATACGGATGCTACTTTGAAGATAAATCTGGTGTCATCGGCCACCCACTAATACCCTATTATGGGAGGTACATCGACGACTGTTTTGCATTAGTATATGCTTCTAGTGAGAACGAAGCATTAGGTCTAATCCAGTCGTTAATTAAATTCGATGGTTGCGTAATCGAATGGTCAGCTTCGGATAAATTTACTCCGTTCCTAGACATGTGCTTGTTTTTCGACGAATTTGGAAAACTTCAACATATGCCATACCGCAAAGCTGGAAACCATCAAGAAAGAATTCCATGGATATCTCATCACCCACTCGATGTAAAGCGTGGGACCTTTATAGGTGAGATGTCTCGGCTAGCCACGCTGAGTAGTACATTAGTCACGTACATCGAAGCACTGAAGGGTCTGGTAACCCTTTATGTCGTGCGCGGTTATCCGGAACAATTGGTTAAGTCTTGGTGTGACCGTAACATCAAGGCACGTTGGGAAAGTAGGTTGCTCGAAAAGGGTGATACTGCTCCGGTGGATGACGTGCTTGTCCTCAAGACCGAATTTAACCCTGCATGGAACTATTTCAATGCTAACGAATTAGGAAATACTATGTTCAAATATTGGCGCGAGTGGCTCGAAAGGGCCGATCGCGGGGAATTCAGTATGGAATACCCGGCGCCTTTGGAGTGGGATCACGACCTCGCTGACGTGGATCTTCGGCTTCGGTCCGAGACCCGTGTTGGCTTGGCCCCCGTGGACTACCCCGATTTGCGCAAATTAAATATTTGGAATCGTAGGTTAATTACTTCGCGAAAGCGTACACGTAACTTATACGACCTAACAAATCTTTGGAAAAAAGTAGTATTTCAGAACCTAGATGAGCTATTAGCTAATCCTCCGGAAACGGAAACGTTTGAAAATCCGGCGGCCTCGACGAATATCGAGGAGCTATTTCATGATTCTCTCGTGGCGCACACTCTAAGCGCCTCGCTAGCCGGTCCGTCCACAACGGACTCACCTTCTCCGGAACCGGAGGGCTACGAGGACGAATACGGGGTGCGTCATCGCTCAAATAGATCTCCCATGGGGTGGGAACACTGATGTGCCGACAGGCCGGCGGGGCTTTCGCCTGGCTGGTGTGCTTCGGGCCCGGTACTGCGGCGATGTAGCTTACTAGTAGGCTTCGGCCCAACGTTCGCAGAAGTCGTGGGAAAGGCCTGTCGCCTCCGCCGGGGGGCCCAACGCCGCTCCCTGATTGGCCTCCATCAGCTGTTTTCGCACCGGAGATTGAAACGGTTCATTCGAGTCAACGCATTACAAATAAAATCTTGTAGGTGTTACGTAAACTGCCTAATACGCAGACGGTATTAACCGAGGGTGTTCGGAAGCCCAGGTCGGGCAAGGCACTGACCTAACCTAACCCTAACGTACGCTGGTTTAATCGCCATTACATGATAAAATGACTAATTACTTCGGTTTAATTAATTGTTGTAGCCTAACCTAACCTACTCCTAACCTAACCGAACCTAACCTAACCTAACAGAAACCTAACCTAACAGACCCTAACCCTAGCTTATGGTCATGACGTCGAAGACCACGTGATATGATGTCATGGTCACCTGACATGGTCTAGAAGGGTCCGGGTTCTTTGATCCGATCACGGATCATAGAAGTCTTCTCTCGCAAGAAGTCCGGATTAATCTCGAAGGTTTGATAGAAGTGGAAACGGACGGTGCCTTCGGGATGTCCGCATGGTATGCTTCTCTGGCGGTCCGCTACGGCGTTCTGTCGGCAGAAGGTGGCCAAGCTTCTTTAAACTCTGTTACTAACAAGGTTGAGTCATTTCTGCTGATGTAGCTTACTAACACGGGCCTATGCCGGGCCGATGAGCAATCAGTATGACGATTTCAAGAATCGTCTCATTCTACAAGTCCAATGGCAAGTTCTTTCTCGTACGAGTCCTTGCTGACACGCCCCATACTGGGCAACCCTACCTTTTCTGGTAGCTGCTGACCAAGCGGATCTGAAGAGCCTATAAATAAGGCGAAACTTGGGAGGTGGACGGCATTCCACCCAAGTCATCCGAGTCAGCCGACAAGTCCTTCAGCGACAGTTCGACACCGCGAACCTAACCTAACCCAACCTTCTCCGGGTCTAGTAGCTTCAGCGAACGGTCGGCTGAAGGTGGCCAAGCTTCTTTAAACTCTGTTACTAACAAGGTTGAGTCATTTCTGCTGATGTAGCTTACTAACACGGGCCTATGCCGGGCCGATGAGCAATCAGTATTACGATGAAGAGTCGTATCATTCTACAAGTCCAATGGCAAGTTCTTTCTCGTACGAGTCCTTGCTGACACGCCCCATACTGGGCAACCCTACCTTTTCTGGTAGCTGCTGACCAAGCGGATCTGAAGAGCCTATAAATAAAGGCGAAACTTGGGAGGTGGACGGCATTCCACCCAAGTCATCCGAGTCAGCCGACAAGTCCTTCAGCGACAGTTCGACACCGCGAACCTAACCTAACCCATGTCAACTCGCGACAGCGTGCCCGGTGGGTGCTCCCAAGGGTATGGTACACTACCAATCACCAACAATGGCCCATTCGCCACAGAACCCTAATGCCGCCTGGCGAGCGGAAAGCCACAGCTGGTATTCTGCTGCCGGACGGCATTAGGGTTCTGTGGCGAATGAGCCATCGTTGGTGATTGGTAGTGTACTATACCATTGGGAACATCCACAGCGTGCTGCACAACGCAACCAATACCCGCACCTTGGACACTTCTCAAGCCGGCCAGGCCCCTAGGGTGCAAATCCACCCTTCTATGCTAGCATTTGCCAGAAACTACCAAGCTGTGCGGGCAATTCGTCACCCATTCTTTGCATGCACCATCACCAGCTCGAGTTGCCCCTCTTGCTCGGGCCATCATATATACTTCTATGATCGCCTCCAAGCCTAAGTCTGCACTGCCGCCAAAATGTCTTGTCATTACCCACATCGTATGTGTTTAATTTGTTCTACTTCTGTGACCCACTTCGGACTTTAGTGTCATGGTGTAAAACTATTAAACAGCTATGTATTGTACTGTACTATCCATGCTCCAGTGTGACTCACAGGTACAACGTTGGCCCATTCCTTGTGAGAGTAAATCTATATGTGCCCCCATGGTCAGTGCACCATGTGT